ATTTATTCCATATTAAATTGCCTGAAAAGTACACCGTGGTGTGCATACTCCAGATGTGCCTATAAACTGCCATTACTGATACACAGTGCACAAAGCACAGCCTCTCCTTATACTCAAAACTACAGCTGGATATATGTGCAAGTAGTGCCCACTTCAGTAGTTCTGTGTTGAGAATTGTTCATCTGCTCCCAGCACGGCAGTTTTAACCCTTAAGATCATGTCTAGGAGAAGGTGCTTTTTCTCCTTATGTTTTACTCGTGCAAATCGTGCCATTGGATGACAAAGCATCTCTGAAGAGGTGGTGGACAAGGTTAGACTAGTCTGACATTTAGAGCAGCCATTGAGAATAAATGGGAGCTGTGTTTACTAGCTGTTACTTCCAGAGATGGTTTTCGTTTGATGACATCTTCAGTGCAAAATACATACACTGTACTGGAACAAGTATGCTTCTCAAGATGCCTTACAAAGTCTGAATGTTTGGATACTACAGAGGAATTTAAAAGCTTTTTAGGTTACTTTACAGCCTGACTTCCTTCATAAAAAAGCAAGTCAGAGAGAGGGCAAATGGCTGATACCAATGCAACTGATCTGTAAGTGTGTGACATGCATCCCGCTGGGCCTGAGCAGCAGGTTGTATCGATTTGCTACTCTTGTACTGTTTCTAGCTTTTGTTTCAGAAGCTCTTGGTTCAGTTCACATCTTCATTCTAAATTGTGTCTTCCAGAAACAGCAGCTGAGGCAGCTGTTGCTGCTCTTCGTATCTGAAGCCAGTGACCAGCCTAGCTGATTCGAAAGGCATGAATCGTGGCTGTTAAAACAGACTCCTCAGGTGCTTAAGACTGAAAGTCTGGGGTAACTTTAAATTTTGTCTGGTCTGAATTGAGTCTTTAAGAAGGCAGATACTCTCTGCTCCCATCTGGGGTTATACATCTCAGTAGGAGAAGGAAGTAATCATGTTTGCAGGGAACCACAGGTAACAAACAGCGGCTGCCTTGCCAGAAGAGCCACTTCTGTTGGACAGCAGTTGAATACAGCACTGAAAGCTTGGAAACATAGGAGTTGGGAGTAAATGAAGCTGAGACGTGTTCTCATTTCTGTGCCAGAACACAATGTATTGTAATTGGGTTTTTTTTCAGGAAATCTGAGAATTGGGATTTTCTGCTGACCCCTGGGCAAGTTAAAACTAACGTGACATATAAATGGATGCATTGAAGTGCCTATTTAGTCATAGTGATCTGCATGAACAGGCTGCTCAGCTGGTGTTAGATGCATGTCCTCCTCTCTTAGTACAGAATATGCAGTGTAGCAGAGGTCTCTGGTGAAATGGCAAGCTTGGTGCTGGCGAGTGAGATCAGCCTTCTAGATGTATGCAAGGCATCCAGCGCTGTGGGTTGCTTGAACCTCATAGGAAGGACTACTCTTGCTGCTGGAAGTTACCATAGTGTGAGACCCACAGTTGGATTTTACAATTTTTTTTAAAACATGATGTCCTGTTGCTTTATTTCTACATGTAGGCTGCTCAGGAGCACTGTAAAACACATTGCTGGTCTACATACGAGCTATAGTTGGGCTTGAAGACCAAATTTATTTCAAGTAGTTCCATGAATACATAGTCTAGCGAAGTCTCATGTCTATCTTTATGTTAGATTTTTTGCTGTATGGGGAAATCATGATCTGATCTGACAGTCTTCCTGTGTCTAGGGTGTTTGCAGTTCTAATGTATATGGACACGGCTGGTTTTGTAGCCAGTGAGCTCATTGCTCTCTGGCATTTATGAATGTCTCTGTCATCTATTTTTTAATGCATTTCCAGGAATATAATATATTTGAAAAAAACCTTTCACTTCAGTCAGTGTTAGAATTGAGTTTCAGAGTTGAGAGAAAGAGGCAAGGGAAAAAGGGGAAGGCACACAGTTGCGTAAATTCATTAGCCTTAGAGAACAGGATAACAGAGGACAAACCAGGGCTTTGATTAGTGTGATAGATTGAGCTAGTCCCCAGTCTTCCTAGTATTGAGTTAACGCTGCTTGAGGCCAAGAAGTCCTTGAGGATTGTTAGGGGCTGATCAGAGAAGACCCGTAAATGGGAAGAAGTGCTTTGTTACTAGCAGGGGAAGCGTGTACTCAGCATTGCTGGTCCATCTGTACAACCCCTCCCAGAAATCAGTGGGAATGCACCCACTACAAATCTGTAGTTGCTCTATTGCGAATGTATCCCTGTGCTTGGATCAAAAGTGGCAGCAGAAGAGAATGCCCTGTTTGAGGCTCTAACTCAGAGCTACCAGGAACAGCAGCAATTGCTCTGGAGAAAAGCATGGTTCCTCTTGTATGGCAAGGGGGTTCCCAAATGTGATTCCGTAACAGGGAGGTTTTTCTGAAATAACACTTCATATTTCTTGCAAACAGAAAAAAACCCGGACCAGTTCTCTAGTCCTTTTCCTATTCCCTTTCCCCACTCTCACTTGCCTATCCCATAATAACAAATGTGGCAACAACTTCTCGTCCACCTTGTTTTGTTTCCATTTACAGGCTGGAACAGGCATCAGCTGGTCCATGCTTGCTTTTTTTCCCTAGTTTCTGACACGCTTCTCTTTAGTGAGGGGGATCCTCTGAATTCCTTGGCCATGCCATGGCTGAAGCAGCTGAAAGGTCCAAATCATGAAGCCACAGGGAACTTTGGGGTGGCCTGAAGTACTATCAAAGCCAAGGGCAGCAATCTGGGCTCTGCCCCACTGCAGAGAAAGCTGCTTTGAGCAAGGAAACCTGCATCTTCCCCCTGGAAAGCAGTCCTGTGAATAAAGTGCCCGGTCCCTCACCCTCAACATTTTTGTGTTACAAATAGGAACTTAAGGGGAATTAAGACCCTTCCCACCGTGGGATGGCTGGGGATAATGATGATGCGAAGCACTCTGTGCTGTCTTGCACAGCATAGTGGAGAGGCTGTGAGGGGATGCACAGTTTTTGTCTGTGTTTTGGGGCAGAAAAAAAGTTGACCGGAAATTAACTTTGTTAATGTAGTTAACTTAGGAGCACTCCAGCATACCGCCAGACTTTGCTTTCTAATGGTCTTCCTCCTTTTTTGCCCAAACCTGTGACAGATCGCACTTGCTTTCTCTGTAACTTATTGCATGTGCTTTTGCATCATCAGCGCTGCTGCATCGCACTGCAGGTGCACCCCTCTGCAAGAAGGTGGGTGCCCTCTCCTCAGAAGAGAGAGATCGTAGCTTTGTGAGCCTGCAAATTACGGAGAGCTGCTGGGCTTGAGTCAGTCTGCAGGAACAGACACAGCTTGCAAAGGCCTTGGAAGAGCTGGTGTTTATTTACAGCACTTTATTTTTCCCTATTCAGCAGGTCTGTATTCCCAATCATCGTAAATTCTGGGAAATGATGGAAATGATCAGCATGGTTCAAATGGCACCAAATTCAACGCATTTTTCTGCTTAGACACAAAAATTCAAGTATTCTTCTAGGAATAGGTGTTTTCCAACTGTGCAAAAGAGTGCGTGCTTGACTCAGAATGAGATATTCTGTATTTGGAATAAAGGCTCTTCTACCAAGGAAATACACCAGTTTTAAAGTGATTAAACTGGCAAGGACTCTGCTAAGGGCAAGCCCTCCAAAACCTAGGGGAAGCTGAGGTTTTGGAGCATGTAACTCCAGCGTGTATCTGTACGTGCAGAGGAGAAGTGACTAACATGTTTGTTCAGTTTGGATCCCTCAGCAAAGAGCTGTCTCCCTGGAAGCGGTCCTGCAGGGAGCTGAATGTTGCTGGGCTGCCTGTCCTAGACACCACTCCATCACACAGTGGTGGCTTTAAGAGGAAGATTAGGAAGTACACTTGGTTAAGAAACAAGTGAAGTGTAAAGAATGGTGTTACTGTGATCCTTGCTTTGGAAATTCCTGGTAAGCTTTAGATGACAGACAGCTGAAACACCCCTGCTGTCCTTTCTGCCAGCTGGCATTTGCAGTACTCATTTCATCTCTCTTTATCCTGATGTTTCAGCTCCAGAAGCTGTGGAAAAGCCACCCTTTCTCACCTGCCCAATCTCTTTCCTCCACCAAGCTCCTCCTGAAGCCCCTGACAGTTGAAATCTCCCTCCTAGATTTCATGAGGACTTCACAGTAACGAGGGAAGCAGCAGTGTGGCTGATGTTGCTGTGGTAGAAAAGCTGGTTGTATTTGGGGGATCTTAACCCCACTAACCACCCCTCCCTCTAATCCCCACTACACTTCATTGACAAATGCCCAGGCTCTGATGCATTTTGGTAATGTGTAGACTCCAGTTTGAATTGAGGATAGAGGGAACTAGGTAAGAATTGTGCTTGGGGACTGTGTTGGATGCTATCTGATGCTAACCTCATTTTAAATAGGTTAGTTAGTTATTGTATTCCGTTTTGAGCTAGCCTGGAAGCTTGTAGCTCAGTGGAAAGGACACAAAGGGGAGTATTCATCAAAGATAACCTTCAGGTTATCGTGCCTGGGAGGGGTTGGGGCCGCTCAGGCTAAATGCTGTGCATCTCAGCAATTGCTTCTGAAGTCAGATTCCTGCATTGAGCCCCTTCCCTGGAGGATCCTTTCCTTTCACAGGCCGTGCAGGTAGGGGAGCTCCTCCACGCTGAATTAGCTTTTGTGAACATCTGTCCTTGCCCCAGCAGGAGCTGCAGAAGTGCCATGTCACACCAGTCTGAAGGGCTGTGTGTGGTAGGTACAGAAACAGCAGAGCACTTCAACAAGTGCAGCAAGGCAGCACTTCAGCTGAGAGGAATGTTTGGGTGTTTTTTCTTATCCCCCCAAGGGCAACTGGATTTATTTGTTGGCACAAATCTGAATGAACTGGCACATCTGAAATGCATTGGCTTATATTGTGCCGCAAACTAGATGATATAATGTAATTTTGTGATTGATTGCAGGAAAACAAATGAAAGAGCCCTTTAAAAAGGAATCTGTAGTAATACAGTTGGAATGAAACACGGTGCTACAAACTGTACTAAATAATGACAACCTCTTTATCAAAAAAGCTTTATTTCTATAACACTTTATATAAAGCGTGCTACTAAGTAACAATAATTAAAAAAGTCGTGTTGCTTTTGTCTTAGTCTGGCAGTTCCTTTGCTCTTGCTGTTTTACATGAATGGAAGGAAAGCAAGGCTGAGGGAGGACGACTCAGCCTCATGCAGTGCAGCTGTGTAGGCACCAGCTATAGCAGGGTAAATGGCATTAATAATCATCATAGTTGACACCTGCTCCATGCCTGAAACTGTGTGGATTTCGTGGACCAATCGGTGCATCTTCATCATAGTGGTGTTGGTAGTACCCACCGTAGTATTCATTGCGAGCACGCCCTAAGCTGGTCCAGTAGGACATGTCATCCTCAAATTTCTGCGGAAAAAAAGAGAATACATTCCTAACCTAAACTTCGCAACAAAGAGAGAGAAACAGAAATGGTGCAACAGGTTCATTTTGTCTCTTTCAGAAATTCAGATCCTTTGTGTGCTTGTCGAAATGAAATCTTTAGCTCTGTGGGGTCTGTGACTTGTACCTACCTTCTCTATGGGATTTATCAGGGTCCTAAGTGCAGGAATTGTCCAGCCCACGTGGGATTCAGCCCAACACCCACTGCCCCCTGTAAAGTGCTTAAACTGAGACACTCACTGAGCACCTTTAGTATTTCAATTACTTTTTCCATGGTGGACGATGAAAACCTTTCAATGTTTTGCACTTAAAAATCTAAAGGTTTGGTTCCCCACTGTCCCATGCCTTTAATCAAAATGTCACTGACTGCAGAGTGGGTGCAACGGGCTTTTGCTTTATGCCTGTGATCTTTTGGTTCTCTTTTACATGGGTAAAAATGAAGGTACAGTGCAGCCTTCTAGCTATGGAAATGCAATAAGCAGTTCAATTCTGCTCACAACAGCAGAGGAAAAACTGTGTGCAAGGATATCAAATACTTGCCAAGCCAAAGCCTTTCCATCTGAATGACTCTTTGGAAATATTTTTGGCTGAGATTTGGAAAAAAAGTTTTGCAAAATACACAATGGGTAAGCATGGCCCAAGTCCTTTGCTTGGAACAAACAGTTATTTCATTGTTAAAACTGTGTCTTAATACTCAAGAAAACCTACTAAGCAGATTCATTGTATCCCACAACAGGCCTCATTTCAGTCTTCGAAATGCACACAGGAGCACAGAGGAGAATTTGTCTTATCTACATGGTTTGTCCTTATTACTTCTTGGTATTTGCCCCCAGTCTTTAGTTTCTGATGCATAAAATCACTTTGCCTATTTTTCCTATTCCTATTGGGGGAGGGTGCTATGGCCCTAATGTTAAAAAGTCACTTTTATCTGCATAATGCCCAGGGGATAAAACAGAAAAGTATCCTTCATCATTTCAGTCCAAGCAAAGGATTATTTTTCTAATTGTTCCAGCTTTGAAAATGAATGCATTCATCTTCTAAGCAATCCACATAGCATGAAGGTCCAAAATGTTCTCCAGCTTGCCCGTGCCAATGCAATCTCATTAAACACATTCATGCAGCTAACAGAAGCCAAAACTTCTGTATCTATAACTGGTTTTTCCTCTTATTAACATAGAAATTATTCTACATGTGAGACTGCAATAAATGCACATTTTTCACCCTATTTCAGCATCTGTTTACTAAAGCTTTGTGCAGAGCTGTGTTTTTACAAATTAACTGGGTTAATTATCCTTCCACATCTGAAGGGGGCCTACAAGGATGCTGGAGAGGAACTCTTCATTAGGAACTGTAGTGACAGGACAAGGGGTAATGGGTTCAGACAAACAGGGGAAGTTCAGGTTAGATATAAGGAGGAAGTTCTTTACTATTAGGGTGGTGAGGCACTGGAATGGGTTGCCAGGGAGGCTGTGAATGCTCCATCCCTGGCAGTGTTCAAGGCCAGGTTGGACAGAGCCTTGGGTGAGATGGTTTGGTGTGAGGTGTCCCTGCCCATGGCAGGGGGGTTGGAACTGGATGATCTCCAGGTCGTCCTCGACCCAAACCATTCTGTGATTCTCATTTGAAGGGAGGTTGGCTGCACATTATCAAATGGTTTTCTTTTCACATTTAGAGTCAAGGCACAGCAGCCAGTGCTCACAATGCAGTCAGGAGCTGCCTGCACCATGGAGGCCCAGGCATGCAGTAGGTATATATTGTTAGTGCAATTTCACTGAGGAATGCCAATCATGACAAGGTTGGTGTGAATTTATCAGAGTGTTTAAAAGTAAATTGATAAGGTTGAGGCTGCCAAATTAATTTCCTGAAATACGATTGATTGCTTTGGGTCTCACCGCCTATTTCTCAAAGCAAGCTTTGTTTATACATCCATTTGCAATTTATTAAGCTACGTTCAGTCACAGCCAAGACCTCCACACAAAATTCGAATGTCAATTTTTTCTATTAACAAAATAAGAAAGAATTCTCTAACAAATAACAGAGCTTACATTTCCGTGCAACATTTGCTACTTTACAAACAGAAACCGCAGTATCTGTGACCAGAAGTGGGGCATCTTCTCTCTCTGGTTGCCCCCATGGCTGTGTACTCATAGCCACACACCCTGAAGCTCTACTGGCCCTGGAAAGCTTTTTACTCACCGCCTCATCAAATCCCAGGTACAGGAACTGCTGGTACCACTGCTGTACATCAGGCTGGCTCCTGTCCCACAGCTGGCGCCTCTGGCGTCTCAGGCTGTTTAGGAATGCCTTGGCTGTTGTTTCTTTCACTGACAGCTCAGGCTTCGTGGCAACTGGGGCTGAAATTAATCCCCCCCACCCCCAAAAGACATGCCAGGAAATTTTTAGTCATCCTGAGGCTTGCAGCAAGTGAGAAAATGCTTCTCACATCGTGCCATCACCTTTGTGCTTGGCAGCACGATGTGTGTGACAGCAGTAGCAGTAATAAACTCAGCAACCATCGATGCAATAGGATTCCTCAGCTACACCCATCCACTTGGACTTTGAAAAGCTGTTCTGAGCTCAAAGACAGAAGCTAAGTGAGGAATTTAAATAAATAAACCCAAACTCATAGAGCATATACACGATGGGTTTGTGCTTTGAGGAGAGGAGACTGGCATCTGTCCTGTTGCAGAAATGGGAATGGAGATGCGAGGTGAAGTTAAAAAGCCTGAAGAGCCTGGAGAAATGTTAACTTACTAGGGTGAAGGGAGGCACACATAAAAAGGTAGATTTTTGAATCTGTTGTTAAAAATGTAGCTTTTAAATACCGAATACTACTAAATGCTCTGTATGCCTGAAAATAAAACCCTATCAGGCTTCCACAGGACACTGCTTGGTGGATGCATGGGAATGCCCTCAACCGGCTAGACCCAGATGTGCCATCTGGCTTGCCCCATGCCTAAGGGCCGGCAGTTTTCTATGGCTGCTAGACGAAATTATGTACCTCTGAAAGGTGTGTATGTGAGGACGGGCTAGCCCCCTGCCATGCATGGAAATGATGAAACATGGCATGATGTTTTGTCTTCCCCGTGAAAGAAGAAGCATGTATATGAATCGGAGGAACGTCTTGCCTTTAGAAGGTTTGCTGCAATGAGGGAGAGACCCAGGAACTTGGATAGGAATTTTTGGAGGATGCGAGGGAAGAGGCTGGGGCAGACAGGAAAGTCAGATGGAGATGTGAAAACCATTGAAGCAGAAGGTGGGCAGACCCATGGTGGGCGGTGAGGGACTGCAGGGGGAAAGGAGATTCAAGAGGTAAAAGTGATTGATAGATGAGTTGTCACAGGAAGAGTGGGAAGCAGCAGGCTGCCCTGCAGTGATGGGTTGGAAACTGGTAACTCCCCGTGCACTCAACCTGGGTGTTATGACTGAGAAGCAGGACTGCTGAACAAATGCCATGTCAATGAGCCCTGCACAAGGGACACTGCCAGGGAAGGAACCAACACTGTGCACTTAGCCTGCTCGCTTTGGCGCTGCAGAAGGGGGGTGAGGCGGGAATTAAGGGGCTACATATTCCCTCCATCATCAGTGCAAGACTTTGGGGTTTTCCCTGGTCTAGGCCATAATGCTTGTGTGCTGCAAAAGCCTTCCTTTGGGAGGTCCCTCCCATCAGGGGACCCGAACAGACAGGTGGATTGCTACTGGGGCACAGGGAGGGTTGCTGTGACAAGCAGTCACTCCTATCTGCACGCAAGCACTGCAGAATGGTAAGGCAGGGAACCCATGTGGAAGGCAAACATCTGTGGATGGGATGCATGTTTTGGGGCTGGCAAAGAGGCGGTGGGTGAGTCCAGGAAAAACCCAGTGGGAAGTTCAGCAGCCTTGCAAAAAGTGGGATTCTGCTCTGTGGGGGATGTAAATTCTTTGCCTTAGACATGGAGCAGGCTGAGGGGAGGACACCAGAACTTCTAGGCCTCTTCAGCCTGCCCCCATCTGCTGCAGTGCTGCTTGTCCCCAGCCAGCTCTGTTTCCAGTCCTTTCCCTCAACCAGCGAGCCATTCAGTGCATCTGCCCACTGGGCCCTCGGCCATCATCTCTCCTGTAGAGAAGCAGTCTTCCAAGAAGGAAGCACACACGGGGCCCGGAGGACAAAGGGAACAAGTCAAGGCGTCATGAGCAAGCCCAGTTTGCACATTTTATTCACTGCACCTGAGCCAGCAGTATTTCTATGTGTTGAAATTCCTTGGAAAAGGTTGTGACTTCCCAGAATAAACCAGCTGAATGCCACATCTGCCATGTGTACACTGGGAAAGGTAGATGCTATACACTGCGCAGAGCAAAATGCCAGCATACTGCCTGGGGCAGGGAACCCTGGTTTTCAGAGGGGGCTCTGATGAGCTGAGCCTCCAGCCTTGCCAATACCACATCCCAAACAGACGTAAGACCCCACCTGGAGTACTGCATGCAGATCTGGGGAACCCCAGCATAAAAAGGACATGGACCTATTGGAAGAAGTCCAGAGAAGGGTTACAAAGATGACCAGAGGGCTGAAGCACCTCTGCTATGAAGACAGGCTGAGACAGTTCATCCTGGAGAAGAGAAGGCTTCAGGCACACTTTATAGAAGCTTTCCAGTACCTGAAGGGGGCCTTTAGAAGAGGCTGGAGAGGGGCTTTTTGCAAGGGTGTGACAGAACAAGAGAGAATGGCTTTAAACTGAAAGAGGGGAGATTTAGATTAGGTATTAGAAAGAAGCTCTTCCCTGCGAGGGTGGTGAGGCCCTGGCACAGGTTGCCCAGAGAAGCTGTGGCTGCCCCATCCCTGGCAGTGTTCAAGGCCAGGCTGGGCAGGGCTTTGAGCAACCTGGTCTAGTGGAAGGTGTCCCTGCCTATGGCAGGGGGGTGGAACTAGGTAATCATTAAGACCCCTTCCAACCCAAACCATTCTGTGATTCTAGTTGGGTGGCTTTTGGTATGGCATGCAGAGAGAGCAGCTGTGTGCTACCAGCTTTGAACCGGGCACTTGGCCACTGTTCCTCTGGCTGTCTGCCTTGAGCTGTAAATTCAGTGGCAACATGTTGGCAGCTTTGACTGACATCAACTGACTAAAGGAAAAATAAGGGGAAGCACTTCACTGTCTCTTCACTTACCTTCTCGTTTCTGAAACATCTCTTTAAGCTTATTCCCCCTTGACACATCTAGACAAGTAAAAATAAAACACATACATTTACTAAGAAGGAAAAGGAAAAAAAAAAAAGTTTGCATCTCAGAGAATACTGAAAGTATTTTTGTCATAGCTCCAGACCAAGAGCCAGAACTCTCTGGCAAGTTGCTCCCATTGCCTCCCTTTGCTCCCGTTTCTACAATCCAGCGCAACATACACTGCAGGGAAGCTTCTGACATCCTCTCCCCAGCTTTTCTTGGCAAGAAAACCCCAATAGTGGCCTCTTCACCAATTAAATCATATTTTTCAGCAGAAGACTGTAGCCAGTGCCAGTATTGTGACGCAGCGTACAGCCAGCACAGTAGCCCTGGGAGCCCCAGGTTACTGAGCGAGGGGCATGCCAATGACCTGGCTACTTCAGAACTGTGCCTGGCAGCCTGTCACAAAGCACACCAAAGCTGTTCTTACTGAAGCCCTTTCTCAGAAGGGATCCAAGGCTTTAGCCCGCTGCCGGGCAATGCAACAGGTCTGACCTGCAAGGGCTCTGCTCTGGAAAACGAGCTCTTTAAAACAGAAATGTTCAATTTGCACAAGTTTTGGCGTGACCGAAGGCGTTCACTCATGCAGGACACCAGGGGAAGGCTCCTTCCTCTCCCCAGGACGCGTCGGGTTGTGTTTTCTCTCCCCGCATCCCGCATCCATCCCCGCACCCCGTCCCGGCCGCGGGAGCTCACTCACCGGGGGCTGCGCAGAGCAGAGGAAAAAGGAGGAGGAAGAGGAGGGAGGCACCGGGCAGGGCTCCTCGGGGACACGTCGGCAGCATGGCAGCGGCGAGACACCTGGGCTGGAGGAGACGGGAGGATGAGGATGGGGATGGAGACGGAGCGGAGTGAAGGGGCGCTCCTGCCCGCCCCGGCCCGACGCCACGGGGAGGGGCGGAGAGGCGGCAGAGGTGAGTGGGGGGAGCGAGGACAGCCGCGGTGCGCTGCAGGTCGGGGAGCTCCCGGTAGCCAGCGGCGGGTTTGCCAGTTCCCAGCAGTGATTTTGTTTTGGGGTTACACATAATCCAGCTCAATCGGTAAAGACCTTTCATTCATGCAGGGTTTTCTCACAGGGAATTAAAACATAGCAGTAGCACGTCATTTAGCATTTCTGTATGCATGAAACCAGTTTGTCACTTGGCTGGAACAGCAGAGGGAAATTCAGAGGTTGTCTTGGTGGAAAAATGATTCAGAATCAACCAAAGGTGACCCAGTTCAAGGTTTTTTCTCTCTCCCTTCCTCCCACTCCACCAAATCCCCCTTCCAAGTCCGCAGTGTACATCAATGCATTTTAACTGGTCAGCTCTAAAAATAATTCTGATTTCTTTTTCTGCATATAGACAGGTTTAGCTTATAGCAAAAATTCAGGGACCAAAAGCTAAACTCACAAACTACATAAAACTCCTTGTCCAGCAGTATCATAACTGTAATGGTGCGTAAACTTAACTCTGTCTCTTCCTAATTCAGACTTAAGCTTCTCTCTGTGAATTCACTGTCTCTCTGCTTCAGAAACAGCCCAGATGAGACAAAGCATAGTGAAATCCTTGCCCATGCTCGGACACAAGCCTCTCTCTTCCATCGCAGCACTGACTCACAATACTCAGGGGATAGTTATGGGCATCTCGCCTGCTGCTGAAGCTGTGCCAGGGTACAGAGGCACACAGGAGGGATACTGGGGGTAGGCCAGGGTGAGCAGGGGTGAGCTGGGCTCTCTCTGTAACCTACTTGTAGGAAACCTGGCAAGCACAGAGGCCTTGGCTCCCTGATCCAAGGACTGCTTCCAGATTGGGTACAGATGAGGATATACACACACACTGTATCTATTGTAGTTCTATAGAAATATCTGTATTGAATACGTGTGTGTAAATATACATATATGTGCATGTGTGGTGAGGGGGCCATGCACTGGCATGGCAACTCCCTGTGATGAGATGTGGAGCCTGTCAGTGTTATTTCAGGCACGGCTAATTGTGGTGGTGGGACAAGACCCTATGCCTGACTTTATCACCCACAGTAAAGTACAGAAGGAACGCCAGCAAGGGCTGATCTCTCAGCAGTGTCCCAGCCACAGCCTGATCATTGCTTCAGGTGACTGCTTCTGACTGCCCCACGCATCTTTTTCCTTGTGAAAAAGTACTTGGAGCTGCACCCAAAGTGTTCCCTCTTCTCCCTTCCATCCCCCAGCACCCTCAGGGTTATGCTCAGGCCTCTCTGCCCATCACAGTTGAAGCAGCACCAGCAACAGCTTGAAAAAGCAACACAGTCACTCCGGCCCAAGTGCCCTTTGCTCTCTGTGAGAGCCACAGCTTTGGGGGGCAGAGCAGGCGGCATCAGCCCCTTCCAGGCTCCTGTCTGTGATGGAAGCGCTCCCATAGGAGGTTTCAGTTCAGTGCAAATGGGAATCAAAACCAGCTTGCCCTTTCCGTCACTGCTTTTGAGTGGTTTCTCTCCACAGCTCCATGTATAAAGCGTCAGCAGATTTAATGGCATGTGTTGGAGCAAACACCCCTTCTTCTGAATCAATACACTCTTTCATCAGCTTAACGTTGACAGCCTCTTTACTAAAACCACCTGAGGTTTCTGAATGACTAGTTGGAGAATATAGCTAGAAGGGACAGCAGTGAAGAGCACATATGCAAGGCTACATGAAACAGCCATGATGTAGATAATTTAGAAAGCCAAGGTGATAACACATGAATGTTTATGTTCTACTGCTATACTGGTAATGGCAGAGGGTGTTGTTTTCACCTGACTAGTTTGTAACAAGTCTTTTGTGGAAACTGGGGTTCTGCAGAACTTCAGGTACTTGGTGCCTCTGAGCCAAAAGAATACGAAACACAAAACCTCCTCTGGATACCAAATATAACACCATGACTCAAGAAATTACGGATATAAAATGCTATCTGGTGAAACCCAGGGAACAGATTGACTCAAGTGCAAGGTTATTGTAGAAAATCATTGCTCTAGTGGTGGAAGAAGTGCTTGGTAGAAGAATATAATGCTCAGGGTTAAACTGAGTGCAGCATCTTCCCAGAAGAGGTCACTTTGTCAGTTCAGGGGATGAAAGTTTAGACATAAAGAAAGAAGCTGAGTAAAAATATAACACCACGTCTTTTCAAAGGCAGCGGTGAAAAGGAGATGATATTTTTCCAGTAACAATCTTTATTTGTGTTCCAGCTTGTTTTAAGGACTGAGGCAGTGTTGCCCTCCTGTTGCAGTAAGACATTTTCTGCTGAGCTTGCAACTGCTGCATCATGATCGCAAGGAAGTGTTTACCTTCAAGTGAGTATCCGTGTTTATTGGCACACCCGCAGTAGCCCTTTCTGCTATTTGTCATGTAAAACCACAGCCTCTGCGCGTGTGACTTGGGTGCTGCAGTGTTTTGCTGGGATCTCTCCATCAGCAGTGACATCACTCTAAAACATCCCCTTCTTTAGCATGGAGGAGTTTAATGCTTGTCTTAGGGCTTAGTTTGCCTCCGCTGGCACACCAGCGCTGGGAGCTCTCTGCCAGCACGGCTGTGCAACACCCCCTAAGGGCTCTAGGTAAGCAAGTCTGCACTACTGACATCATTTGCTTAAATGTCTTTCATCACCACTGATGACAATGGTAGACTCTTGGTGTTGAAGCGTTACCGAAAGATGTTAACTAATGTTGCCAGCAGGAGAGCTCCCCAGACAGCTCGAGGACAAGTGGTGAGCAAGGCATGGTATAAAGTTCCATTAAGCCCCTTAGCGTAATGGGGACCACTAGATGGAGGGATGCTGTAGCAGGGTAACAGGATGGAGCTGGTGGGTTTCTTTGCTTCCCCAGCATGGGGCTTGACAATGGTCCAAAGCTTGGGTCAGAAAACTGGGAGCGATCCAACAGTCACTCTAAACCTGACTTTGAGAGAAAAAGTGGGCAGGAACCAGGCAAGTAACTCACTGGAGCCAGAAAAACCCCAATTGCTGAGCCTACTGCTGGCCAGCATTGTTTTTGGGGCCTGCAGGACTTCGTGTGTGTTATCTGGGATAAGCAAAGAAGATCCAAGCTGATTTAGTAAATATTTCTGCAACTCACTGAGTGTTTAGTGACTGCTCAGCTGACCCCATTTCATCTGTGTGATCTCTGAGCTCATGCTTAGTGGTTTTAAACCCAGTGGCTTCTACAGGTAGATAAAATGGGCATGTGTGGCTGTTTAACTGATCTGAATTAGATGAGGGGTGGGGAAGTGTCTGCCTCAAAACATCACTGAATTTTTGTTTGATTTTTTTTAATTATTATTGAACATTTTGCCCAAAATTAAGTACTGAGAGATGCCTGAATAGCAGAAACACCTCTGCTTTTGCATCTCATCACAGTAGCTGTTGAGAGAACTGTGGTGTACTCATAAAAAGGTAAGAGATAGTATCCGTAATGGCCATTCAAGGATATTCAGTAATTCAGAGCACAAAAAAATTGTATTGAAAAGATTGAGCTTAGTTACTTCCCTTCTTTTAGTAGGCTTCACAATTTCAAGCATTTCAAAGCAATAATATTCTTAAATGCAGAGTAGATAAAATATTTATACAATCACAGGAGTCCCAAAGCTGGATTTTCAAGGAAAAAAAAACAAGACATGATAAAATATTACGACCTGGCACCAGCATAATTTTGTAGGCAAATAGGTAAATTGGAAATCAGCCAGGGACTGCAGGAGATGACATTTCATCTTCTCACAGTGAAGCACCATGAATATTTTAATGATCCACTAAAACAACCCATTTGATCAGGAATGCGGCAGCACTGAACAACACTCCCAACACCCAGAAAATGACTGTTTTGTGCTACGTGAGTTTTTTACAGACTCTCCAAGCCGTATGAGCCCAGTCGCAAGCCTTAGGACAGAGGCACTTGACATTCCAGATTGTTTTCTGCAGCCTCTTCCAAGAAAACTGCAGGAGTCATGTTTTGCTTCCAAACAGAAGTCATCAGTCAGTTCTTCCCAAAACATTTTGAGTTTCATACTATTTTTTCCACTGCCCTAGAGACCTCCTGATAGTGACAGGATCAGCCCCAAGTCCTAGGGCAAATGCCTTTCCTTTAGGTAAAGTTTAATTTTTGCTTGCCTCTTGTTGGCCTCGACACATGGCTGGGACACATTTCATCTGTTGTGTCTCAACTGGTTGCACCACTACTTTGGTCCATGTTAGCAACAAATATTAGTGTTTATATTTTCCATAGAAAACCCCTTAAAACACGTCTTTCTTTTTTTTCCCTCTGTGTTTGGCTACTGAAAATATATTTTGCACCTTCTGGCTGACCCTGTCAGATAAGAAGTGGTTTCTGTTGGTCTGTCCATCCTCCTCCCTTCACTAACTGACAGAACTTTTCTGCCCGCACTACAGAATTAACCTCTCACGATAAGCACAGTGAGAAGCAGATCAGCTGGGCAACATTTTCTGATCATGGCTGCTTCCTTTTGGCAAAGGGATCAAAAAGTTCTCTAAGAAATCCTTCCCCTTTTTCACTGCATCCAGTGTATCCTTAGGATAAACCTGGAAGTATACAGCAAGTCTGCAATTCAGATCTAACAGGAAGGGAGGTGGAGAGAGACTGTAGGACATTACAACGTGTCTTTTTATTGTGGCCTGATTTTATTCAAATCACTCTTTCTTTTACTGCTCTCTCCTGGGACTCTTTATGCTTCAAAACATTTTTTATGAACACTAATTCCTGAGCTATTTCTGACGTGTTTTTATTCCCTCACTGTCCGACACTCACTTTGTTATTCACATCCAGAATGCATGCAAGCTAGTTAAAAACAAACAAACCAACAAGCAAAAAGACCTCAAAACAACAAAAGCCCCAAACACATCAAATGAGTTGCAAATACTCAAAGATTAGTAAATGCAAAGTCTTAAAAACATTAAATTTAACAATCTGGCTTTAGCATCCCTCTTCCTATGCATTACTGCTGTCTTAATGGTTTGTACACACAGTTCTTTCCCCAAAACTCTGGGCTTACTCATGGAGTGGGTGCCATTCATATAATAAAATAAAGCGATCTGGATAC